CCTTGCAAGGTGAGCGCATGAGTCCGAATAAACTTGGATTAATACCTAAGTTCTTTCTCTCATTGTGTTTAACTAAGCAAGACTATCCTTTCCTTATAATTTGAGCTCGACTTATAGAACATCTCGCCCTATAAGAAACTTGAGCCGAATTATATCCTATCAAAGAAAGACTTTAGCTCTTCTTATGGGACAATTCGCACCATAAGAAACTAGGGCATTGTCTGACTTTCCTCGATATATTGCACTTACTTATGTATACTTGATTTATCTATTTATTATATTTGATTGATTTATCTATTTTCTTGACTATTAGAGTAAAATCATTGGAAACAAATTCTTACTCATTAGCTAGATTACGAGAGTTCGAATTATTTTATTTATAAGTGATACGAACATCACATTAAGCCACGATCAGTCTTTCTTTCATAACGAATGACCATACCTCTTTAGAAGATACAGTTTTAATGAAAATAAAAATATATAAGCAGTTTTTTTTATAGTCAATAAATTCATTCGTTGTTCGATGGGTGACGTGTAAACAATATGGACTTCAAAGAGCAACCGCTTAAGTTGCAATTCATAAATTTTGATAGTATGGTGGAGACGGAAAAAACGAGAAAAAAGACATAGCAAACTACTAACTGATAGTATACGAGCAGTTTTCTGTGGTCCTAGTAACTGTGAAAAAACTAACTATTTGCTAATACTAATCACACATCCTAATAGACTTAGATTCGAAAACGTTTATTTTTATTTAAAGTCCCTCATTCAACCAAAGTATAAATTTTTAAAAGATTTATTGGAGCCGATTGATGGTATACAGTATCATGCATTCACCAAGCATGAGACAGTTGTTTTACCAGATAACGATCATCCAAATTCCATCATGATTTTCGACTATATATCCACTGAAAAGCAGAACAACATGAGAGCATCTTCTGTATGGGATGATATAAAAAAGTAGATAGTTTTTATCTCTGTCAATCATACGCTCGCATACCGAAGCATCTCATTCGAGATAATGTGAATTTACTAGTTTTGTTTCGACAAAATAACGTGAATATTAAACATACTCGTATTTACAATGATCACGTTAACTCGAATATGTCTTTTAAGAAGTTTGGATGGATAATCCGTTTCAAGATCTTTCTTGCTGTGTCAATCATGTAGAGTGGACAATAGGATGAAGGATCGTCTGGTGGCTTTTTCCCTTTTAGAGAGAATCAATCTCTGCCGCTTCCATTCGCAAGCAGAAATTCCTTCTCAGAGACACCTGTTATAAATTTCTAGAAATATCTGTGGTGCTGCGCTATGGCTTCTCAAGTACCACGTTGGAGACTCAATCCAGCCCTATAGCTTTCTGGTTTCCTACCTTGGTGCTAGTCTTCATTAGTTCGTCTCTTTACACAAGTGGAATCTGCTGTTCTCCGTGTTGGTTAATCTGAAAATTGTGTCTAAGCCACTGTGGAAACACCGTTCCTACGACATTTTTAAGAAACACTGGGCATGTTGGTGGCGGCGTTGTCTGGCTCTTTAGTCACTTAACAGCAACTTTATAAGACCTTCCCCAGGGGTCTTCAATCTTTAATCCTGCAGTAGTTTTTTCCAACATTGCCTCTTGCTATCTTTAATCGCTTTTGAGAATTTTGCTCGTACTTTCTTGTACTGCTCCTATAGTTATGGCTAGGTTTTACTGCCTTTTCTATTTCTTGTTGCTGCTCTTCAAGCTGAAATATGAGGATATTTCTTTTTAAAAGCACTAATGTTCTCATTCTACCAGTAAACAAGTTCATGCCTATTGTTTGTTCTTTTTCGCGGTATCGCTGCATCACAAGCCTTAACGACTCACCTTCTAATTTCCTACGCTTCTTCGTTGGTGTTACGGACATCCATATTTCAGGTTTTTAGTGCTACTCTGGGTCACTCAGATTGAACAAGTTATTTATTTTTCAGTTGGTTCTATCCCATAGTATACTATTATGATGAATTTTTGTCTCGTAGGCAGGCACGTTACCATTATTGAAAATCTCTAAATCTAGAACAAACGTTGCCTCTAGTTCATCTATTCATTTATTCTATTGTTATTTTTTTGCTTCCCCATTTTGTAACCCATGCGTTGAAATCTCCAGCGATGACTGCGGAGAATGTTCTTTGACGTCTTGACGAGTCTGTCAAAAGGATTCGTAAATTGGCCTGGTTCTCTGTCAAATCTGGGGGAACATAGTAAGCATAGGAGTAGATGCTCTGACGAAACCACTTTATGTTCCGTCGACTTGATCTTGGCAAAGAATTAGAATGTCCCCACATGGCCATATCGCTGTCTCTTCTGTAGAGTAAATGGCCCATGCTTGGGTAACACCGGTTTTATAAAGGTCGATTACGATGGCCATATTGATCTTCCATTCTTATATAGTCTGTAGCAGTAGGTTGTACGTAACTCCGTCGTGGTTTAGATTGTATAGTAATGTTTTCATTTCCGCGACCTTTTTTCCCTCCTGGTTGTCTCGTTAAAGGTTGTGCACTTCGTACTTCTTTTCTAGACTTGGCGCAGAAGAGGCAGTATGCCTCTTTGTTATATTGCGCAACATTATGATCTGCGCTTCCACATTTCATGCAGAGCTCAAATCGATCTACATCGCTTCTATATTGTTTGGCCATATGCTTTGAGTGCCAGCACTTGTAATATTTAAGTAGCCGATTCATCTCCTTGATCCTACAGTTTACCAGTTCTATCCATCTTTTGTCTTTATCACCAGTCGCTTTGTGGGCAGTACTGGCTGGTAGCCTGATAGCAGCAACGTGGGTTTCTCCGAATTCTGCTTGTAAGGACTTTACTGATTCCATATTTTCGGCTCCATCTTCTTCGATTACCTTTTAAAGTGCCGCTCTCACCTCCTCCTTGGTAAACGTCTCTTCAATGTCTCTTATATCCAGCTCTACCTGGTGGGTATTGCTGGCAACGTCCTCCTTTTCATGTAGCATCTCTTCTATATTCTTTTGGAGAGGTCCTACTCTATCTCTAATTTTCCAGCTGGGTACAATTAGTAGTTGGTCGAAGGCCGTTCTGTACACTTTTTCGATGCTATTATTAACATCCTCTTCTTATTTTTACCTGGTATCTTTACCTTTAATCTTGTCTTTACCTGCCTGAGAATATTAACGTAGGACTTGTCCGGTTTCACACTTATAAGAAAGGCGTTCAACCTGGTCCGTAATTTCCATAAGTTCTTGTTAATCCTCTTCTTCTCCTTCTTCTTTTCCTTCCTTTCAACCTTCTTCTAGTATTGGTCGTTCTCGATCGGGTGACTTGTTGGGCAGGCTTGTGTTGCAGCTCAAGGGTGGTGTTCTTTATTGATTTGGTTTTCGATTTTCTCTTTTTTTTCTACGCCCAGCGGTGTGACGGTTTTTCCTCTTAGGTGTATTGTTTGAACGACGCAAGGAGAGTTTCCCTATTGGTGTTTGGAATAGTTCTTTCTTAATGCCAGTCAGACCTTGCGTCGGAAGCTTATTAGAAGCAGTCTCTTCTTGCTCCTTCAGCACCTGCTTATTTAGGCTTCTGAATGCATTTCTTACTTTCCGTGCCCGTTCCGGCATGTTATTTATTCTTTGCTTTTTGTCCTCCAGCATCTCTAGTTGGTATTCTATTGCTTCTTCGAGGGCTTGTAACTTATCTATGCAGACATGCCCTGCCTTACTTGTACTTGTACTGTTGATGCTACAGGAACCAAGTGGCCAGATCCTGTAGTACCTTTATTCTTACTTGTATCATTATGTGCTAGATAGAGCCCAAGTGATCAAGCTCCATAATATTCATGATAGTGTCATTTACAGCTTTGAATGCCACAATGACCAAGTTCTGTAGCAGTGCGGTTGTTTGATGAAGACGCTATCGTGCCCGCTTTCTCGCAACTTCTAAGCGCCGGTACAAGGGTATCCCTTCCTTCCACCGTCAACTTCCTTTCTCCTATATCCAAATTTTCTAAGTCTTGTCCTTCTCACTCTGTTTGCTCAACGCTATCGGATCGCCGAGAACTTCCATAGCGGCAGCGTTGATAGCCTTGACTATGTTTGGTTCGCGGAAGTTATTTTATTTCACTTTGAAACGGATCGACGAGTCTTCCTCATCGACCACCTAGGACGCGCCACATAGGAGTACATCTCCCCTTCTACTTAGAAAACCAGGCAGGTTCGTTGTGTGTGTGTGTGTGTGTGTGTGTGTGTGTGTGTGTGTGTGTGTGTGTATGTGTGTGTGTGTGTGTGTGTGTGTGCGTATGTGTGTGTGCGTGTGTGTGTTTGTGTGTGTGTGTGTGTGTATGTGAGTGAGTGAGTGAGTGAGTGAGTGAGTGAGTGAGTGTAACGTCAATTACTGTAGTTTTTGAATAATATAGCTGTTGTCTTCCCTATTTGTTCAAAATATACATCGAATTCTAAAAAAAATATGATAATTTTAATATTATATATCGATATCAAATTATCAATTTATACTAACAATTGCAGCATAATTTCAAAACATAACCTCTTATGTTCTCAATTACCTCATATGCAGATTATTCCACTACTGAAAAATAAATCTCATACTTTTTAGTGCAATATAAATATTTGAAAGTGTAATATAATTCAACAGTTCGCTACTTCTTAGACATCGACACAACACTGAATATAGGCAACATCATTATTTTGAATTATTTTGAGATGCGATAGACTGATATTCGAACAGAAAAATTTTAGGACACTAAATAGATTTTCAAAAGTAAAGTTAGTTCGGATATGTGAAGTCATGTATCCACGTATAGTACTATGATATTCTAAGTAAAACTAGTTAATTCTTGTCTACTATGACTTATTTTATATTACTTTACCGCAAGTGAAGCGTTATGTATTTTTTGGGTTCATGGTGCGCTGACGTATAACAATAATTAGTGCAATAGAAGAATTTTTTATATTATCATATAACGACTATATATTTATTCTGTTTACTAATACAAGTAACTTTTTCGCAGAATACGACAGTGGCGAAACTGATGATGAAAAAGAAACTGATATCTATTATCTTTCAAATGAAATCAGTTGTACAAATCCTAAAATGTCTTCAATCGTATTCACTAAAAGAGGAATAGTTATTGAATCAGACAAATCAATCCATTCCCAACTCCGTGTAGTGTATTTTTCAGACGGCTCACCATATGAAACTTTACATGCTATAAGCAAAACAATGGCTCCTTATTTTAAAAGCTACGTTAAAGAAAAAGCTAAAATTGATAGAGATGGCGATAAAATGGCTCCTACAGTGGAGAAAAAAATTGCAGAACTAGAAATGGGTCTTCTTCATTTGCAACAAAATATTGATATTCCAGAAATATCCCTACCAATCCATCCCACTGTCATACAAATCATTAAGCAATGTGCAGAAGAAGGACGAAAACCAAAAGTAGCTGACTTTGGATGTAAAGTAGAAGATTCTACGTTCCTTAATCAACTTCAAAATGGTGTAAACAGGTGGATCAAAGAAATTCAGAAGGTGAGTGTATTAAACGAATTCTTATCTGAGTGAGAAATTATTAACCAAGTTAGGCTATAAAAATCATCTTAGCAGTATTATATTCGGGGGGGGGGGGGGGGGTAAATAAGTCTTTATAAAAAGAAGGAAAAAAAAGTTTTGCGTATGTAATTTTTTTTTATTTTTCAACATAATCTCCTTGAAGGTAGATACATTTTATTGAACGGCCTTCCAGTTTCTTTAAGCCAACAGAAAAATATGATTTCTGAAAACCCGCAAAATAGGCATTTGTTTCGGCGATGACTTCTTCATTCAACGTGAATCGTTGCTCGGCAAGCCATTTTTCGAGGTTAGGAAATAAGAAAAAGTCACTGGGAGCCAAATTAGGCGAATATAATGGATGGTTAATTAATTCGAACTTTAAGTCGTTAATTTTTGCCATCGAAACTGCACACGTGTGAACTCGATCATTGTCTTGAAGAAAGAGGCATTTTTTTTTGTTCAAAGGAGGATGTTTTTCTCTGATTTTTTTCTTTCAGCTAACCTAATAACAACGAATAATATTGTCCAGTGATCGTCTGGCCCTTTTCCAAGTAGTCGATGTAAATGATTCCATACGCGTCCCAGAAAATCATGGCCATAATATTGCCAGCTGACTTTACTGTCTTTGCCTTCTTTGGGGCTGGTTCTCCTGCGGTAATACATTGTTTGGACTGTTCTTTGGTTTCAGGAGTATAGTGGTGTACCCATGTTTCGTCTACAGTTACGAGTCGACGCCAAAAGTCTTCTGGATTACGACGTATGCGTACCAAAAGAGCCTCAGAGGTGACCACGTGGGTTCGTTCGTTTTCAACAGGGAGCAAACGTGGCTCCCATCTTGCTGATATTTTTTTCATCCCCAATTTTTCATGCAAAATTGAAATGATTGTACCTTTTGGTACCCCTGTGGCCTCAACTAATTCTCGCAATTTTAATCTTCTATCACTCAATACCATATCGTGGATTTAGTTGACCATTTCGGGCATACTCATTTCTATGGTGCGTCCTGAACGAGGTTCATCTTTTGTTGTTGTACGGCCGCGTTTAAATTCATTTATTCAGTTCTAAACAGTCTTAAACACAGGGGCAGACTTGCCATTAATGGCGTTCAACTCAACTGTGATTTCTTTTGTGTAAGGCCTTTCAAATAAAAATATTTTATCACTGCTCGAAACTCTATTTTTCCCATTTTTCAAATAAACCAATAACTTTTCGTTCAACCAACGTTCACAAAAAAATGACTTAACGAATCGAGCTAAAACTTTGTACGATATCTAATTAGTAGTATTGCTTGCCAAAAACATCATAATTTAAGCTTGACGAGCGCCATCCCTTGAATTTTCTAAAGACTTATTGACCCCCCTCGTAAATTACATAGTACTAACAAGGAAAGTACCCAGGTATCTCCCTCCGATTTTAATAATACTAAGATATGTTATAGTGCATCAAAAAATAAAAGTGACCCTCAAAATCACATTTTTTTTAATATCTTCGGTTTTATTCAATATTTATCAATAAAACAAAATGGAAAAGAATTGCCATGAAAACCGCAACAAAAGCATAACCATATAGGTTTTTATAATAAGGGTTGCAACCCTTAGATTTAATAGGGGTAAAACTGTATTTTCCTAGTATTTTTTTCATGCTTAATTTTACAGAACTATTACAAAAATATAAAAAAATGTTTTTCAAATACAAAATGACAAAAAAAAGGTGATCTATTTTGGTGTTTCCGCAAAATTTTTTGTTATGGGGGTGAACTACCCCTAACCCCTATTAAGAAGCAACATAGATAAATAACACAATAAATGAATCCTCGGTTTTTATAAAATTGTGGTATGATATGGTGCATTGAAAAATAGGTAATACGTATTTTTTCGGCTAATTTTCACTTCTAGCGGACAAAAATCACCCCCGTAAGTTACCTTCAAAATCATATTTTTTTCAGTATCTTCGGTTTTATTTAAAATAAAATAGAATTAATAAAATAATAAAATAATTAATAAAATAAAATAGAAAAAATTTTTCATAAAACAAACAACATAATAAAGTGAAAATAATAACGGATGAAACGTTAGATTTCTAAGAACCATTTAAAGATATGGAAGCTGAAATTGTTGAAGATGAAATTTTGCATCATTTTCCAGATCGTCCTTTTTCACCAACAAATGAATGTACTAAAGATGAAGAAGATATATCATATGATTATAAATTAAAAGCAGTGGAATACTGGAGAAGCAGTAAACAAAAAAAATTTGAGTCTTGAATCAGTGAAACAAAAGTTTAAGAAAGTAAGTTCTATAAGGCAGTTGCGACGTTGGGCTTATGCTTTGAATATAGGAGGGGCATATAGAAAGAAAAGTTCTAGAATATGTCAATTTACATTAGAAAATTTTAAAGCTGCAATTAAAGCGGGATTGGTCGTTCATGATCCAGACTTACGTAAATGAGCATTACAAGCTCAAAAGAAGATAGGCTATGAAGATATTAGATTTAAAGCTTCGAGTCACTGGCTTAATTGTTTCAAGAAAATACACAGAATAATATCAAGAAAAATTAATAAATTCGTAACCAGAAAAACTTTAGAAAGTGCTGCAGAGTTAGAAAAACATGCAAATGAATTTATAACTGATGTTAAACAATGTACAGAAGAGGTAGGAATGGAAAATGTATTCAACTGTGATCAAAGTGAATTCCAGTTAGAGATACATTCTGGTAGAACATTAGCTGTTGAAGGAGAAAAACAGGTGCAGTGTGTTGTTCAATCAGATTCGTCTACAACACATAGTTATACAATACAGCCTCTAATATCAGGTGATGGAGAATTACTTTTACCACTTTTCCTAGTTTCAAAAGAAAAAAGTGGCCAGTTTGGACTAGTTGTTGAATCTAATTTATTTCGACCTAAAATGTACATGTTGAAGCGTTAAAATCTGGAAAACGGACTTCAGGTATTTATCAATATTTATTTACCGAAAGTAAAATTTTTACGACAATACCCGCAAGCTATACAACAACATTAATAAACATAGTTTTTTTGAGATCATTTTAAAATTTGGTTACAAAAAATATTGATAGATGACAATTCGCGCGAGGCGAATTTGTCCCGTACGAAGGCCTTTCAACAGCCGAGCAGCCTTTGACTCGGGCGGCAGTCAGGCTCTCGGGCACCTCGTCCCGTTCGCGCGTCAATAACGAAATCTTCGTAGATTTGAATCCGGGCTTCCGATACCGCCATCGTGAGATATTCGATCGGACGTATTCGTATATATCTATCCGTAATCGGTTATATATAAGCATATGGATATACTCAAGCGCGTTTAATAGTACTTATAACATTTATTTTATAAAGCTCAAGTACATGAATAAATGATAGAGCGAAAATAGAAAGAGAGATATATATATATAGACGCGTGTTCTTCGCCTCGCGTTGTCTATTAGCTATAAACAATATGGTACTCACTTATTTTTTTAATAGAGTTATTGGCGCTCGGTCCTTCATGTATTATTATTGTTTTTTATTTATATGGTCTTCCTTCTTTTTGTTTTTAAACGGATTGTATGGTCCGTCAAATGTATGCGTATATATGTATGTGTCCAATTGATACAGTGGATTAATATATTTTCTTGGTCCTAACGGCTTGAACAAATTGCCTGTATGATTGCTGTCTTTCTTTGGCTTTTATTAACACTCAAGCTCTGATGAAGTAAACTGAACTAAACTTTTAATTAGGTAAAAGAATAATACCGGATAACTCGGACAAATTCAACCAAACTAAATTTATATTTCAATTGCCGAGATAAACTCTGAATTCGGAAATATTGCGGCCTTCTTGCTCTGCGCTCTGTCCTGACTGATTAATCTTCCTCGTCGTTTTCACCAGTTTATTATATATTCTTTGTCCCTCGCATTCCGTCTCTCTCTAGCGCATACGCTTTAGACATTTACGTGTTTCTAATCGGCTCGTATTACTTAGCCAAGCACGCTGACTGCAGCATGCTGCGACAGCATGCTGCAGCAGCGTGAATCAGCTTCTCCCGCTCATTCCCACCGAGCCGCGTACACGAATACTGCTAGCTATGATGTTTTATCGCTATAACCTTGGCCTTAGCACAACACGAACAGGACTCTCGAAAGCGAAATTATAATCGTAAAATATAACAATTGGTACGTTACGTAACAAATATATTTTCCGAAAGTTGGTCCTAAAAGTATATTATTATTAGATTCTTGAAGTGGGCATTGTCCTAAAATAGTAGAAGAAGTTACACCTGTTAATAAAGACGTAAATATAAAAAAAATTCCTACAGGAACTACGGGAAAAATTCAACCTTTAGACGTATTTAGCTTTCGCATTTGGAAAAATTATGTTAGACATTTTTCCGACAAAGTAATTTTAATGGATTATGATATGCAAGTGTATAAACGTAGTAATATTATTAAACTGCAATCTCTAGTCCACAACCAATTTTCATCCCCAAGATATAAAAATCTTATTAAATATTCTTGGTACAAAAGTGGTTACCTTGATGTAAACCCTGAAAAATTTGAGAACCCTGTCGACTTCAGCTTTAGCGATTCTTGCAAAATGCATTGCGAGATTGAAGGCTGCAGTAATATTGCAATAGTTCGTTGTGCTTGGTGTAAAAAATCTTTATGCTGTAACGGAGTTATATAAGCCGACTATTCGTTGAAGAATACTTGCTCGCGGCCGTCCGCACAATATTTATCAAAGGAGGGCTCGGGAGGCACGAATGCTCCCACGACTGAATGGCACACCGAGCGTGTGTGCCAATCGCGCACGAATTGAAGGAAAATCGGGAAAACGAACGGGTTAACGCAATAATATATGACACATATATATATTATTAATTTATTAATACAAACACAATAAAAGAAAATGAAAGAAAAACACACAAATTAATAATTAGACGGAGCATGCGCACTCCGTCTCGCAAATCGGCCTATTACAAAAATCGCT